CATTTAATAATTTTTGATTGCCATTCTAGAAATACTAAATATAAATAGTCATATAACAAAGGAAAACGTCGCGAAGTAGTACATCTACATAACACAATGACACATATATAATCTATAAATTGGTAATAGAATTTCCATGCTCTAACTATGTATTTTATTCTCCGGTGTGCCAAGCCGTTATCCAATATCCTGTAGATGTAGATGGTATTTCAACTTGACTTCAAAGCACCAATGAAATCGATAGTAAAAGGAAGCGCGGATGGAAATGAGCTTTTGTTAGAGCTCGTAAAGTAAGTGTATGATGAAAGCGATTTTCTACGCTCATTTCAGTCAGTACTCCAACACTAACGTCCAAAATAAACTCTAGAATAATTAATTCTAAGCTTTCAAAAAAAAAAAAAAAAAAAATAATTTATGTCTATACATTAAAAGTAATATTTTCACTTTAAAAAGATTTACTAACTTTTACCCCCTTTTTTCAAGCAAATATTATCTTTTAAATTATTATTTTATTCCTGTCATTTTGAGTTCCTACTTTTTCCGTCTTTGCTCCATATGGGGTATTGTTTGTTGTTGTTGTTATTGTTTAGAGATGCAGATAAGGCGGATTATTTGAACAATGTACACAGAGATGTATGTACATTAGTTTATTGTTACTGCAAAACATATAATATAAACTGTGTATACACGTGTTTATATATTCGCTATTTGCAGGAAGCGTATGCGTGAGGCGTTTATCATCGTAAATCACGCATGACATGCGCTATACGCCGTGTATATACGGGTATAGGGGCTCATTCGATCATAGCATAAGCTCGACAGTTGCTACATATTTCAATGTCAGAAGTTGATTTTGATTATGTAATCGCGAGAATCCTTAACTTGAAACGCGTGTTTTTTTTCTATTTTTTTTTTTACGGGATTAATCTTTCAATTGCTGCAGGCCATCCCTGAAACTTCCCGCTACTACTTATTGATCTAAAGTTATATTTTTATGGCGTAATTAAAAAAATAGTTCTTGATTGAATGCAAATAATAGATTACTGTGAAATGATAAAAATACTAGAGTAGGATAGTTCATAAGGTTAATTTAATTTCAATTTTTATTAAATTTATTCACTTATTTGTAAAATATTAATTATCTATTAAATTCAATTGTTAATAATTGAAATTGAATAATTGATTAATTAATGAATTCAATTGAATATTTTAAATATTCAAGAAAAACCTCTAGTAGTTATGGGCCTAGCGCTCCAACTGTTAAAAAAAGTTTGAAAAATCTAAGAGCGCACGATTCATAATGCTCATTTAAATATGAAATAATAATAAAATAAAAAATATGATAAAAAAATTTAAACAGCTGTAATAGGACGATAATGTGCAGGCGACCCTAGTGAAATAAATGTAACAATATATATAGATATACAGTCTTATAATTTTTTAATTTATTATTTGCAATTAAACGACACTGAGTTACATAGTCATTCGCGACAGTGAACCTACAATTCTTTCAAAGAATAATAAAAAAATTTGTTTCAATTAATAGAATTTTTCACGTTATAATGTTTACGGGTTTCATACTAGATGGACGGGAACATTTTTTAAACTATTTGATGTTTTTTTCCGATTTAATTGAACTAAATCAATTTTTGTCAAGTATGGAATTAATCTCCTTTACATTTTCTTCACAGGGGTATGCAAAATATCTTAATTCCGTGAACTAACAAGGATATAACAATAAAAAAGTTTGGAAAATCCAAGAGTGCACGCCTCATAATCTCGTTTTTCACAGTAAAATTGATTAAAATAAATTATCAAAAGCAAAATAATAAAAAACAGAAAACTCTGCTATGGTTTGGTGGCGCCATAACTCTGAGGTGAGGAAAAAAAATACTATAATAACATGTATAGATAGATATACAAAAAAATCCACATTCATAAATTAGTTTTTTATAAATCCACAGATTCGGTAGAATCTGGCGCCAAGTTCCGTTCAAATCCGTTGTCAACGGAGCGCCAGACTACCGACTGTGTTTACTGTAAGCAGAACGGTATTTTGAGGTTGCAAAATTTTATTTAATTCTACGGTACTTTTTTTCCTAAATTGTATATTATAACAGTAATTCATATTTTAATTTACTGTTATTAATTAATTATATTCACATATAACAATTAATCTACTTGAAATTAATAAATTTAATCAGCACAAACTATAGCAACGCAAAAATTTCGATCCTGACTTTTTGTCGATGGGCAAAGTGATCTGCCACAGACTAAAATATTCGAGAATGCATAGTAATCCTTCATAAGATGGGACACTACAGTTAAAAAAAGATATTTCACAACTTGCATCTACACCCGCCAGGGTGCGCTAGAATTATTTTTACATAAACTGTAGCCTCAAGGGAATAGTTTGCTATAAAAAATGCAGCCAACGCGAGATTTAAATTGATACCAATTGTAAATTTTTACTAAAATTACAAAAAATACTAAAATCCGAACAAAAACAGTTTCACTGTAAAAAAAACCGCGCCAAGTCCACGTTCATAAGACGATTAAGAAAAAAAAATTAGTTTTTTCTTTACAAAAAGATAAAAAATAAAAAAATTAAAAAATCCTCGTAACCGATATAATTGTTTATGATTTTCGAAAATTAAAAAAAATTTTGTTGTAAATTTAAAAATTAAAAAAAAAATTTTGGAAACAATGAGTATAATCCAGATATTATTCAGTATAATCTGGATTATACTAGCTAACATCTGAAATTTTTTTACCTCAGATGTCACTGAGTATAATCTGAGATGGTATCCAGTGTCATCTTGCTCTTTCCGTGTAACCGATATGATTGTTTATGATTTTCGGAAATTAAAAAAAATTTTTTTGTAAATTTAAAAATTAAAAAAACAATTTTGGAACGTATTTAGTGTGCGTTGTTGCGAAATATTTTACTTTTAATTAAATTCGTAAAATTTATTTACTAGGACTTTAAAAAAATTGAAATGCACAATATGACGCACACCAAGTACGTTCCAAAATTGTTTTTTTAATTTTTAAATTTATAACAAAATTTTTTTTAATTTCCGAAATTCATAAACAATCATATCGGTTACTTGGATTTTTTAATTTTTTTATCTTATATCTTTTTGTAAAGAAAAAAACTAATTTTTTTTTCTTAATAGTCTTATGAACGTGGACGGCGCGATTTTTTTACAGTGAAACTGTTTTTGTTCGGATAATAATTTAACGACAGTGAATTGAACTTGAACGCTCATATTAATTAAGAAAATCCGTCGTGTGTTACTTTAGATAGTAAAAAAAAAATTATTCTTGTACGATCATTTTTTCGACCAATTTCCCTGCCACATAGACTCATCCATACACGGACGTCCAGAAAAGATTATGTTCAATGTTATTATTTCCTATGTTAAACAAAAAAATTGCTATTGAAATATATTTTATGTGCCTGACAAATTATTTGACTTGATGTTGGAGATATAGTAATATAGTAATATTCGCACGTACACTACACACACACATGCGCCGACGCGTCGATCTACTGCGCATGAAGTCACGCCGAAATATTGTATACTCGAGTCAATTATCTATTAGCACGTTGTCGAGTGAAGTCATTGCATTCTTTTCAACCGTTGTAATTAGTTACTAATAAATTTATACGTCGTTCATATTAATTCCTTCTCTATTATTATTTATATTCACTCAATTCCTGCTTAACTCCCACACTTGATATAAGTGTATTCAAATTAATCTGTAAGTGCGATATAAATAACAAAATATCAATTTCAGTTTCGAGAAAACTGCTTTTTTTGAAATGTCGAGAGTAGAGCACAACCTCAACGCTTCGCTTATGAGGCGTGCAAAAGTTGCCAAAATGATGTGAAAAAAAATTTTCGATCGTAAAGTAATCTCTGGTAATTTGAATCATGAGTCGTGTAATAATTCTTATAAATTATCAAAAATTAGGAAAACGGTTGATCCTAAAGGCCATCCCTGCAACTTCTCGCTAATTCCATACTTAAGCGCTCAAAATTGCACTTATTACGTTTTTGAACTCTTTGAGCTCAAAAATATAATTTTCGTGTCATTTTGAGCTCTCCGAGCTCAAAAATCTGATGGTAGTTTAATAAAACATTCTTTTTTTAATTTTTAAACCGCAATAACTTTTGAATAAATGAACCCATTTTCACGCGGTTAGCGGCATTCCACGCATTTTTTTAAGCCTCATGAAGAACCGTTAAGTTTAAATTGATCGAACGAGGAATTTCGAAGTAATTCCGAAAAAAACACTTTTTTCGGTTTTTTTTTGACAACGATAACTCACGAACGAATCAACCGATTTCGACCGGGCTGGTGGCGATTGACGTGATTTTTTTATGTTAAAAAAAACACACACACACATACATACATATAGACATACGGACATCATCGCGGAAACATTCGGGGAAGCTTCCTAAGACCTTATAGCGTCGAGATCTGATGAGAACTCGATTTTCGAAAAACGGGGTAAAACCGATAACTTCCCAATTTTTGAAAATTTTCAATTTTCTAAGCGGGAAGTAAAAAATTAATCTCAAATATTTAAAGTTTTTCCAAAATTTTTATCGCTAACATTTTACTTTATTGTTATTACTGTCTTTCATATCGATTTCAAAAATAATAACGTGTTTTGTTGGATTCTTTGGGTTTTGTTCGTATATTAGTTAATTTATTAATCAGTAAAATAAAAACACTCTTAATTTAATTCAATGGCCAACTTCAACATGTAGTTTTAAAGTCATACACTCTGTGTGTGAGTATCATTAAAATTCACTCTTATTATTTTTTCATAACGCGCCAAACGAAGTATAATAAAAAAAAATGAATTGTATTGAATCTAAAAATCCCATGAGATTTTTTTCCAGGGTTATAAAAATTTTTAAATATTTAATTGAAATATGATTTATTATGTAAAACTTACAGTAAAAAAAAAAAACACTTTATAATTAATGAACAACATCAGAGTGCTTCTTTTTCTTTTTCATCTTCGCAGGAATTGGCGCCGGTGCTTTGAATAATGTGCTGTAAAAATTGGATTAGTTAATATCCACATAAATTTTTAACCTAATCGATTATTTGTAATAAAAAAAAACTGAATACTTACTGGCATGTTGTGCAAATCGGACTGAATTTACAAAAAACTAAAAAAAAAATTAATTATTTAGAAGTGAATGCAAATAATTGAAATTGAGGATGATTGTTAAGCAGCTTATTGAAGAGAGTGAAGTGAAAATTAATAAAATATAGGATTGGTCGATAGAAAATAGGAGGTAGAGAATTGCTTAATTAATTGTTGAAGTTGATAGCTATAATAATAATAATGATAATAACAATAAAGTTAATTTATTTTTTAAACGTACTTGAAAGACAAATTGAACAGACGTAACCAATATCAATCAACTCGTGATGGCAAAAGCACGCAGCACGGTAATCAACCTTAACTGGCGGTGGTAGTACTAGTTTTGTACGTACTGCTGGATCTGGTAGAAATACCCACTGTAATTCAATATTTAAATTATTTAATCAAACGAATTCTAAATTATTTGAATCTTTTGGCAAGATTCAAATCCTGATGATTTTTTAACAAAAAGACAATTATTTTCTAAGACATTCAATTTTTTTGCTTCTAAAATTATTTTCCGCACAAAATATAAAAGTAAAAATATTTCTCCTGGGAAATTTGGGATTTTAGTATAAAAATTTTTTATGTGATATTAAAAATGTATAGGTACATTAATATAATGAAAAAAGCGCACGTTTGTTTTTTTTTTTAGATGGAAAAAAAAATTCTCCGCTATTCAATACCGGAAAGCACGTCTGCAATCGTATTGTTTGTCGACCGAACGGGAAATGCTATTTAATCTCCTCTTTGTCAGGAAATTAATGTACTTGTGATCGTTTTATTTTTGAGAATCTAATCACAATTATCGATAATAATTGTCTAGTGGCTCAATTAGGTAGGAAGAAAAATTTTATATCAATTTTTAAGTGAAATATTAGTTTTTTCCATAAAAAAAAACTACTCATATTTTTTTTGTTGAACATGTAGTTAAATAATAAAAAATTATCTGTTGCCGCCAAGCTACTGATTTTTATACTAAAAACAGAATACAAAATTATTAATTTTCATATTGATCCCTACAATAAAAATACACGACAGTTTGAAGTTAGTCAATAGTCGAAAAAATGGGACCTGATTCCTTATTGATAGAATATAAACCCTCCTCAGTTACTATTGGTCAATCTCCTGGTACGTGAACATATCAATATATCGATATAAATCGAACAGGATAAATTCATTCTAGAATTCCGATAGGGGGCGCGCGAATGCGCGCCGTTAAAAATTCTAGTTCCTGTAAAAATTACATTACGTTCTTGATCTTGTGTAATCGATAATAAACGTTTTAAAAAAAATATTTGAAATCACCTTTTTTGCTATAAGTAATTAATTAATTTAGTTAATAAATTTCAATGACGAGGAGTATAAGCTAAAATAAATTTATATTATAATTATAAAATTGTATGCCGTAAAATTGTATCTTGTCATCTCAACAACTAACTTTTTTAACGATATAAGCTCATTCTTATGTTACACTCATCGAGACCTTTCATTTGAGTACTCTCATCAATTTTTCATATGTTCATATATATTAGGGGAGGGGGGGGGCAAAATGGGGTAGGGGTGGCAAAATGGGGTACCTCCAAAATTTCGTAAAAAAAATTTTTTGTTCCAAAAAGCTTTTTTAGCTTTCTAAAATATATTTTAACGCCATTTCCTACAATTTCAGAGAGATGATTTTGAAGCAATTGGTGGCCTCTGACTCAGTTTTCTGAGCATTCGTAGTTAAATTATGTCATCAAAAATAATTCGAGAATCAATTCGACGTTATTTGAAAAAGACACTTTTTTAAAATAATTAGTGTACGATTTCTCTTCAACACATCGCCCGATTTTGATGCGGTTTGCAGCTGTCAACGTCGTTTTTTAAATTAAAGCACTGTTTAGATTTTGGAATTGATTGGTACATCTGTTTAAAAGCTGTTGAAAGAAAAAAGTTATTTTAAATTTATGAGGAAGTCTAAGTTTCGCTGAACCTGATAGTAATTTTAACTAGACTCAAGAGTAAAAATTTTGAACCAAGAACACCAATTGGAAGAAAGTGAGTTTCTTGAGCCAAGAGGAAAAATTCTTGAGTCATGATAGATTCTCTTGAGTTAAAAAAATATATCTTGACTCAAGAATTTTTCCTTTTGGCTCAAGAAATTCATTTTCTTTCAATTGGTGTTCTTGGTTCAAGATTTTTACTCTTGAGTTTAGTTAAAATTTCTATCAGTGTGTAAACCTCTCATACTTTTGTGCAATTCCACTGATTTGAACGACAATTGCGTTATTCGATAAGGTTCAGCGAAACTTACATTTCCTCATAAATTTAAAATAACTTTTTTTTTTTAACAGCTTTTAAACAGATGTAATAATCAATTCCAAAATCTAAACAGTTTTTTTATTTAAAAAACGACGTTGACTGCTGCAAACCGCATCAAAATCGGGTGATGTGTTGAAGAGAAATCGTACACTAATTATTTTAAAAAAGTGTCTTTTTCAAATAACGTCGAATTTATTCTCGAATTATTTTTCATGACATAATTTAACTATGAATGCTAAGAAAACTGAGTCAGAGGCTGCCAATTGCTTCAAAATCATTTGGTGCGCTTGTGAGATATTTAATTTAAAAAGTAAAATCTTTAGGCCTACAAGATTATTCAACTTGAAAAAATTTTCCTGAATCCCTAAACCAAGAAAAAGAGTGCAAAACAAATTACGAATCTTTTTTTCGTGCTATTACTTTGAATTGAGTGAGAACTATGAGTCTAAAATTTTTTTCACCGGGAGTTCCAAATACTAGAATTTTCTCAAGAGAACTCTTTTTTTTTTATCTTGATATTATTTTTACTCAAGCGAAACCCGTCAAAAATTACGAAAAAGTTTTAAAATTTTTTTTACTGCCTCAATTTTTGTTAGGAATATATTACTTCAACTAACAATGTCTCTTTTTTGGGTGATTTGTTCCTCTCTTTGGGTTCTTTCGTAGACTTATCGATAAGAAAATGTTATTTTTTTTAACGATATTTCATTTTCGGATGAAGAAATTTTTTTTTCACTCTTTCAGGGAGTACCCCATTTTGCCCGCTAAAAAAAAAATTTTTTTTCTACGGCAACTTGAAATTTGATTATTTTCCTTTAATTACGACTGAAAACGAGAAAAATCAACGTATTTAAGTCCTTAAAATCATAACGATTGCTTAAGTACCCCATTTTGCCCCCCCCCCTCCCCTATATATATTTATTTTTATACATGAAAAATCTTAATATAAAATTGAGATGAAATATATGTGACATCAAACTATTCGTAACGTGATTGGTCAAATATATCATAAGCATGAAAATATATGCAAACTTTATAGTCAAGGCGCGCGCTTGCGCGCGTAAATTCAAATTCTAGTATTCCATAAATTCGCAATTAGTGCATTGAAATTTTTTATGGTTTCACTGGAGAACTGAAAGCATTGGAAAGCTAATGTTAATAAAAATTAATGTATTTATGCTTCAGGATACATATTGTTCGGCGAAATAACATTGAATTAATAAAGGAAAAAAATTTTATACTCTTCTATATTTCCCTGCTTTAGCGATATTTTTTGCTAGTTTGCTTTTATCGACTGCAGCGATAGTGTGAATATTTTATGGGTTTTTTTTTGCAAGTCCTTTGTATAATTATAAACGCAAAAATATGAAACAACGATGTGACTAAAATTTTTTTATTCGTGAGTAGCATATTTATAATCCAGAATCGAGAAATTTATCAAAAACTTGTAGTATAATTGAACAATCACTTACATTCTGAGCAATTTTTATAAAATTAATTATACACTGAGAAAAAGAAAATAGTTCTATTAAAAATTTTAATTCTTAAATTAAAAATTTTATTATTTATAAAAAAAAAAAATTTTGAAAATTTTTTTCCGGAGTAAACCCATTCAACTTTTCCTATACTTTTGCGGCGCGTATAATCTCCAATTTAAAAAGTTCATGTAACCCCTTAAGCTGTTGCTTTTAATAATGGAAACAGATATTGATATTCTTTTGTAAAAAAAAAAGTAATATAATATATTATTTAATTGTCAATTTGAAAAAGTTCTTGAATCAAATCCTTTTCTGGACATAATTTTTATTTTTTCTCAATTTACTTTAAAAATAATAAAATAATTTTTAATAATTTTAAAATAAATATTGATTGATTAAATAAAATTAATTTTATTGTAAAGAAAAAAAAAACGCGGGCGCTTGATGAAATTGCTGTAATTATTTTATTGGAAGATAATTTTTAAAAAGTAGAGTTATTGCAAAAATATCATAAAATGCACCTCAATATTTTTTTACAATAGAAAGAATTTGTTGTTAATCACTCTATTCTTATTTCAAACTTACTGAAAATTTCAAAATTATTTTCTATTTTTTAGTTTGGTTTAATAAAAACCGTGTTATTTAATTTCTTGAGCTATAATTTATTTTCAAATACTTTAGTTTCATTAAGAAACAAAACCATTAGATAATATTTTACTTATATAAAATAAGTACAAGATTTAATGTCATTCTACAATAATGAAAAATTTTGTAATTATAATTTTTCATTTTTAAAAATTACAATTGGTAATAATGATCAATGGACGTCACGTAATTTTACAAATTTGGCTCTGTAAAAACCAATAAGACGTCTCAAGTAGAAAATTTTATTTTATCAACTAAAATTGCGCAAATTTATCAATTTAGTATACTAGAGTTCGATATTTTTATTAAAATATGGATTGTTATTGTAACATGTTTTTGTCTTGGTTTAAAGCATATGGATACAAAGATTGGTAATTTTAATAAATACATTTTAAACTTACAAGGCAATATCCTAGTATTACCATGTATGAATTATAAATTTTTTCCAGACTCGATATTTAATTTCAACAAATTTTTGTATGCTAGAATATTATTAGAATTGCAATATTTTTTACAGTGTACACACCGAAAGATTCAGCAAAAAATTCTAAATTTTTGTATACTCATTAACCCTTCAGTACCCACGTTATGAGAATTTTTACTCACGCTCGGTTTCAATCTTAATTATTTTTTTAAATTCAAATGGAAAGACCACTTGCAATTTTTTTACCTTCCGAAAATTTTATATTCTTTTTAACTGTTTATCAAAAAATTACTTATTCTCATTATTAATAATATAAAAAAATTTTTTTTTGAACACTATGAGATTTTTTCTCATGACGAGAGTATTAAAGGTTGTTAAAAATCGAGCTGCTCGGCTCCCTACGGCGTAGATCGGCTCTTTTCGGTAAGCGCTTCGCCCACATATTTGTTTAGATCGTATGTTATTTAAATGTGAGATTTTTTCTCATGGCGAAAGTAAAGAAGGTGAGCTGAATAACGTGGATACTGAAGGGTTAAGGACATGATGATACAATTACCCTTAAAATTTGAAGTCGATTGACCATCTATAACCCAAGATGAATTTAATTAAAAATTGGATATTTAAGATTGATTGCATAAGCTCTCTGCAATTCTGTACGAGTTTCTTAATTGTAAAAAAAAAAGTTTGGAAAATCCAAAAGTGCACGACTCATAATGCTCATTTAATTATCAAATATTGAAAAAAAAAAAAAAAAACATGTCGTTCAAAATTAGTTGCCGAAAAACAGCTGTACTAGGAAGGTACTGCACAAGCGTTCCTGGTGGAATAAAGGTGCAATTTCATGCTGACGCTGGTTAAGAGCGTCAAACGTGGTCACGTGGTACAATTTGAACCATAGCGCCATTTTCAATGTACCCAGCGTCGAGTACTCGAGCGTCAAGCGTCAAATACAAGAACGTCAAATCATCAAATACGTTGACAAAAAACGTAAATAGAATCAGTAATTTAAATAAACATTTTGTACTCATGATAAAAGATTGATTTTACCGATAATTATCAGACTTTATTATTAGACTAAACATGCCAGGTGCCAATAAATATCAGCAATGGATTTATAAGTGTCAATCAATAATTGTCGATTGATTTAAACAGTCTGACAATTATTAAATAAAATTGTTTATTATAATTTAATTCAATTGAATTTATATTTCTAGCGTATCAGGTAGTTCACGAAGCTTATTTTGTATCCTTTATTAAAAAGTTGATGTGACGTTTTCATTGTTGTCGCTTTTCGTTGCTATGGTGACCACTTTGGCAACGGTTACCATAACAACAGCTACTATGGCAACGGTTATCATAGCAACGGTTGCCATGACAACGGTTAAATATTAATGAGTAAAATTTGTAAAAATATTGATTAATTAAATTGTCGATAATAAATATTTTGACAGAAGCGCGCAAAGCGTGTTTGATTCTCTAAATTTTTTAAATTTTTAGAGCAGTTTCGACGTTTGTTTAATTCTCCGTGGAAAAAGCTAAACAATGTTTAGCTTCGACGCTGGATTGAATTTTGACGCTCAAGTACTTGACGCAGGTTGTATTAAAGATGGCGCTATGGTCAAAATTGTTCCATGGGACCCCATTTGACGCTCTTAACCAGTGTCGAGCGTCAGCATGAAATTGCACCTTAAATGTACATAATATCTATAGATATAGATATATCACCATCAATGTTAATTTTACATGGACTAGAATTTTTAACGGCGCGCATTCGCACGCCCCCTATCGAAATTCTCGAATGAATTTATCCTGTTCGATTTATATCGATATATTGATATGTTTACGTACCAGGAGATTGACCAATAGTAACTGAGGAGGGTTTATATTCTACCAATAAGGAATCAGGTCCCATTTTTTCGACTATTGACTAACTTCAAACTGTCATGTATTTTTATTGTAGGGATATATATAGATATACAGTCTTGTAGTTTTCTTTTTTTATTAATTGTAATTAAACGACACTGAATTAATTAATCATTCGCATTTAGTGACCTACAATCGTCGATTAGAATTTAAAAAAAAAAAAATTTAACTCAAATAATGGATTTTTTCACAAGTTACAGTGTTTCCGGAGTTTCACACATGACGGACAGGAAAATTTTTTGACCTATTTTGGTGTTTTTTTCCAATTCTATTGCAGTAAATCAATTTTTAAAAAGTATGGAATTAATCTCCATTAAATTATCTCAATAATTTGCAAACAATTTGCGACAATAGAATGCAAAATATCTTGATTCCGTGAACCAACAAGGCTATAATAATAAAAATAGCTGCCAAAATGAGGCGAAATAATATATTACATACCTAGGCCAGTAAAATAAGAAAAGTCTCAGATCACATGTAATTGTTGGCCGAGACGAAGCCGAGGTTGACAAACATGTGATCTGAGGCTTTACTTTTTACTGGCCAAGGTGTGTATACTATTTTTCTGCTCGACGTAACCGGAATGTGGCAACTTTGTTTAGCGCAGCGGCCAGAAAGTTGCCACTTTCCGGTCGGAGGGCAGAAAAAAATTTTTCGATCGTAAAGCACTCTTTGATGCTTCGCATCATGAGTCGTGCAATTAACTGTCAGAAACCTTCAAAAAACTGACAGTCTTTTAATGTATTTGTTGTGAGTTTAAAAAAAAAATTAAAAAATTTTTTGACCGTCTAACTATTTATAAATAACGGATTAAAGTTCAACAATTTATGAAAAAGTATATATCTACGGATTCGGACAGAAATACTGTATGGGTTGCGTCTCCACGGGTACAGTCTTGCGTAAAAATTATGGATTACTTAACTACAAGCTCATATACTTTTGCGGCGCGTATAATCTCTAATTTTTTGAGAATATTGTACCATGACAACTACCTTAAAGAATGGATTGATCATTAATTACAGTAGCCCTCAAAACTATTTGTACAATTATATTTAATGGTTTAATTAAAAATAAATATGAAACACAATAATCATTTATTTATTTTTTTAACAACTTTTGAATAATCTACAGAATAGTGTCAAAATGATCCTTGTTCGTAACAAACGAAAGTTTAACTTTTAAAATATTAGCAAAATGGTGGCACAAAAGTATTTTGACATGGTTGAAAAAAACTAATACATAATGTTGTCAAAATACTTTTGAGCGCTACTGTATACAAATAACTTACAAACAGGTCCCATCTTTTTATCTCTTTGCACTCCTAATTTTTCTTAGGCAAATGAAAATTTCGCAAAAAACACTCCGATACAAAATAGATAATTAAATAATCTATTGAGTAGCAGAGTCTTTTCTGAAATTTTTCTTTGTTTAGGAGAAATTCATGAAGCTGCAATAGATGGGACCGGTTCTTAACTATATAACATAAAAACTTACCAACAAATACTGCAATAAACCAGCGAATTGAGATATTTTTAAATAATTTCCACCAGTAATATCACAAGCTTGTTGTAATAACGTCAATTCTTGATCGAGACTGCATACATCTATCACAACTCCCTTAAAAAAAATAAAAAAGAAAAAAAAAATGAATTGTTTTGTTTAATAATTCAACATCATCTATTTTATTAAGAGAATAAGCAAGATTTTGTGGTCAATGTATTTATATGATAAAATGAGTTTTTTATGTTTAAATGTAGTATCATTAGAAAGATAATGTTTTTAACAAATATAAATAATGCTGTGAAGCGGGAAAGAATAGAAGTTACGGATAATTATTACGTGAAGCGTAAT